AGGCCAAGAGACTGTTAGAGGTAAGAAAATACTGTTCAAAAAGTTGAAATCATGCCCAGACAAGTTCAGAACCACCAACTTTGGCATATTCCATAAAAAAGTCATGAGAAAAATGGCCAAAATATTTGAGAAAAAAAACTTGCTAAAGGCGTAACAACTAATGCTAAATCCTTTCTGAACATCTCAAAAGGAGGAAGCCTGCCAGCATCCAGAGGGCCAACAGACGATCAAGATGTAAAAGCATATCTTCAAATAATGCATGACCAATAAAAAAAGGTACATGAATTTAGAAGTACTTTTAATGAAGTATGTTTATGGCAACCCTTTTTTCTCCTTTTATGAGGAAGGCAGTGAAAGATATGCCTCAAACTGAAGCTTCAAAATTTACATCAAAACTCACAAAAATTCAAGTACAAAAACAACTGAATTATTAACTGAGGCATTCACACCAACACTTTTTCCAAGAAAGCTTCTACAGAGGTCAGTCATCACAATCAAAAAAAAAAAAAGAAGAAAAAAAACACATTCCCAAAAAAGATTAAATAACGGAGCTTCTAAACAGAAACAGAAATAAGACATCTTTAGAAAGTTGTCTTGACCTATTAAAATGAAGGACATCTCCAGCTCATAAAGTCCCAGTGTCACAAATCACTAGAAGGCTGGATAACACAGTGGAGGTGTCAGTTCCATTCCAGTACTTTTCCTAGCAGACCTGCAATCATCCTATATTTGAAACAGCACAGCAAACCATCTGGAGCTCTAGTTTGGCCCAGTGTGTCCACTCCTATGTTTCTGCCAACTCTGAGTGGATTTCAACTTCCAAGAGTTTCTATTCTGTACATTCTGAATTACAATCCCAGACTCCTTTTCCCCACACCAGAGGCTTTCCCCAACCTGTTTAATCTTCTTATTGCAGCCTCTAAAACCCAAAGACATGAGCACTTTCATAAGCATGAGCCCAAAATAGTTAGGCTTAAAATAAATGTTGGCCCTTAAAAATTCCTTGCAGAAAACTAACGCCAAAAAACACCCTTTTTCTGTATACGCAGACTGATTCAACAAACGCTCTTGAATTTTTTCTCTGTAGCTTGTTAAAAAGTCTAAAACACCACAGATGTGCAATGTACAATTTCACAAAGAATCTTTACAGAAGGTTTGAAACACTGGGCTTAGAATATATTAGCACTTGATAATGTAGAGTATCCTATTGACAAAACTTCAAAACAAATCAGAATTTAAACCTTCATTCAAGATTGCTTTTAAATACGATTTGATGAATTTTGCTAAGCACTTAACAGGAAATAGTAAAAGCCTGTATCTACACTACTCAATATATCAAATACAGTAACAAAAATCTAATTTATTTTTCATACAGAAGAAAAACATCCCTGTAGAAAATACTAGCAAAAACTTCTGCCAAATTTACAGATTTTAAAGACACGTTAAAAGGAAAAGATGTGCAAAGTTATGACATACTGTAAATTTGGAAAGAATATCCACAGATAGAAGAGAGAGAAATGCAGGTGGATAGGACTGAAATAAAATATTTCATAGGATAAGAACAAAATCAGCCCAAGAGGAGACAGAGCAGATAAATGAGGAAACAGATTTATGTAAGCAGTGGCAAGGGCATGGTTTCGTGTGGCAGCAGACTTCTGGCAGGAACATCATTTATTAAAAAGCTTAGAGCCTTGAAACGTTTCTTCTCTTACCAGTTTATATGCAGCACTGACCTAGCTGATGACTCAATAGCCATTCTTAGTATTCTCTTGAAAAAAACAATGACATTCCAAATATTAGCCTGCTACCCAGCCCACCTGCCACTTTGAGAAAACTGCAGTATATGCACTACATCAGAACTAGTGCTGACATACATTAAAAAAAAAAAAAAAAACTAGTCTACAGATTTATTTATTAAAGAGCACAGCACTCAGAATCCAATATGAACCTGCCTTCCTTAAATCAGGCACTTGAGTCCAGTTTAATAACTAATAAAAATAAGTCAGTAAATTGCATCCTGAACGATTACATAGTGACTAAAACCAATCTCAAAGCAAAACATCATTTTCTCTATAACTATGTATTAATCTACCCATAATTTCAAAAAGTCTATGATTTCACCTACACAATGGGAAAATAGATAAAATTGGCTACCTCTGAACTGCTTTAAAGAGAACAGTACATGGCAGAACACATTCTACACTAATTTCATTTTTAGCTTCAGTAATGACTTGCACTTACCAAAATTCTTGCTCATATGTGACATTGAGATTGACTTCTTGGAAATAATATCAGTTCTAAGTGAAACATCTACTTTCACACTTGGTATTAACATACACTGTAAAGCTTTGAAAGGGAAAATTATTTGCAAATAAGGTTTTGTTTTTTCATTATTTAACAATGTTATGGACCTGAATGATGAGAAGAAGCATGTCTATATGTGATAAGGTATACCAAACTTGGTAAGTAAACCCCATACAATTAAATACGTGCAGTCCCATGCATGATGCCACTGCATTTCCAAATAAAGCACCATAATAAGATAAAACAAGTTGTCTTGACCCACGTTGTCTTAAAATTTCACTTCTAAAACTGTCCTTTACAATGTTCAAAAGGAAATCTCAAGATCTGCAATGAACAAATCATACTGTTGTGGTGGAGGTAGATATTGGACAGTTCTATCAACTGTGATCACTACTACAAATACAATCTAGTCTGATTTTAGGTATATCAAGTGATAGCATTTATCCTCTCTTAGGAACCACTGGCAAAATCTTCAAAATCTTGCTGAGTTTAGGCAGCACCTTTTCTTTTCTGAAACTTTCATGCAAAAATGAAGTATGTCAACAATGTATTTTCTTACTTAGCTTTGGCAATTTCACCTTTTGAATATTTGCAGACATTTATGCCTCCATTCCCATTTCCTGTTGTGGTCCAACCAAGCTGTACATTTCACTCTTTCAATCTTTCCTATAGTTTAATTTTTCTATTTCTCCACCCCTTAATTAGCTTCATGGCTCACACTGTCAGATGCTCAGGCATCAATATACTTTATAACAGCAGTAACATAAAGTACAAAATGAAACATTATGAGCTTCTGAAAATGGAAAAAAGAATGGTATTGATTACAGAAGAGTTCTCACTTCCTGTAAACATTTCTATATCCCACTCTTTCTCTTGCTCTCTCTCTCACACACAAACTTTAAAGGAAAACCAGAAACCCAGAAACAAGAGTTTAATTAAACACCGCTAGTCTGAATTTCAAATCACTGAGTAAAAAGATGGCCACACTTCATGGACTGCCAGCAGTCTATTTCAATTAACTGGGATTAGTATTAATGTAATGTCCTAGAAGCTAGAAGATCTGAAATATATTTAGATATTTATGTGTATATGTGATAATTATAAATACTGCAGCATTATTTACCACTAAACAAAATTGGTACCAGCAAAAAAGGAGATTTCTATTTAAGGCTATCATTAAACCCAGCTATCTCCTTTAAGTACACTGAGATGTTTGTACTCGCATAGACTTAAAATCCAGTAGACATGTAAAGATCAGGTTTAAAAAAATAAATAAAAATGTCCTTCTCACTTTTCCACAAACAATCTCCAATACTCATCTGATGCTTGACGCCTATTCTGGTCCCTGACTCTACAACATTTAAATATATTTTCTTACATAAGCAAGCTCTTTCAAACTAAAATCAATATGGTATTTCTAGAGGATACATATTTTTCAACACTTGTGCTGTTAGCATGAGTTTCCTTTGCTGTACTGAAAAGGGTGCCTGCCTTTTATTAATACTAAATCTAATGGGGAACGTCGACATAAGTTTTCAACAGTGTGAGACAGACTTTAAACCAGGGGAAATTAAAAAGCTTTATGACTGCAAAAGCAATACAGGAGATTTCTGATGCTCTTTAGCCTTTATCAGACTTTAACTGCACACTCTGATACTTTGCTTCCACCACTAATTCTGTAACAAGATTCTCACTCAGCAGTAATCCTGAGAACTGAGTACTGAACTCTACAGATTTTCTGTTCCATCTCTCCCTATAATGAATGCAGATAACTGACCATTAAGCAAGAGTCCAAATCACAAATTTTGCATCCTGACATAAGTACTTAGAAAAGAGTGCTACAGTTAGTTTTCCTGTTTTAATTATGTTCAGACAACCAGGAACAACACTGAGATGAAATTAACTTTCTTCAATAGCTTTTACTTTACTTTACAAATCCTGTATAATTTCATCCTAAAATTTTTGTGTTCTAAATATTCACCTAGTTTTTAACACAGCAGTTGTTTTCTCAATATCTTATCCTGACAAGACAGAAACGTCTTAGCTTACATTCTCCAGTCTTACACTGCACAGTCAGCTATTACCCTACCTATCAACTGTTTTAATTACTCTTTTATTATTTTTATTACACTCTTTTAATCTTCCATTTGAGAGATGAAGAGACAAAGGACAAAATCAGTTAAATATTCACTTTAAATAATACTTAACTATTTTGATGGAAAAAATTGCAATCTGCAGGATCTTTGTATCCAAGGGACCCTCTTATGTTATAGACTGCCAAATTATCTTAGTCCTCTACCAAAGACTTCCAGTTAGAGAAGCACTCTGTTTAAAACAATATTAGGCTTTTGACAATTCTTTGCCGGATCCCTTAACATATAACAGGTAGAGCACATGCTTTCAGTACAAGATAAGGTCTTATAAAGAGGACAGTTCTGATGCTTGTTGATTTTAAGTACAATGACCAATGTAAGAAACCAGTGGAAATGAATTTATGAATTTCAAGGTAATACTGACACACACACACACACACAGATTTATATATAAACCAAATGTTACAAATAGAGAATGTATTATGGAATTAATGTCAATATTTTAATTCACTATTCAAATAAATATTTTTTTCGGTTTTTGTAAAGAAACTGCAAATAAATATTTGAGCAACATTTTGAAATATTTATAAAAGTAGCAAATACCTGAAGTACTCACAGCAGTGGAGTAAGGTGTATGAGCTCCTGTATTTTCAGCCCAGCAGCCACAACCATAAAGAGCTGCCTAAGAAAAGAACATCTTTCATAAATTTAAGTATTCAAGCTTTTTGGTTTAAAAAAAAAAAAAAAAAGCCCAAGAAAAACCTAAGTATCAATACAAATTATAAAAATAAAAATTCCAATCCATTGAAACTGAGTGCTAACTTAGTTATATACTGTTCTCACTTAACCTTACTTAACCTTTCAGAAAATGAGGTACAGATACAAGACAAAATAGTACCAAGTGTGCCCTATTCATATAAAGTCCCTTTCACTCTCCTATTCCAAAATGAAATGTTTAATACATTTTGAATGAGAACTACTCTTATGACAATGGCGAGAGTGGACCAAAAATACATCTGTACAGTTAGTTAACAGAGAATGACATTTCTAATGCACTCAAAAACTCTCTTGCTTAATAACAACAAAGAATGCCTACATTTCATTTGTTCTTTTAATACTTCTACCAATTCATAAGATTATTTAAAAATAAAATTGCTGGAGAACCTCTGTAACTAATGCTGGAAATCCTATTCATAAATGCTTTAAGCATTTAAGAGACAATTTGTAGTATCAAAGAGGTGTTTAAGGGTGAGAAATTAAATATTAACAGTTCTGGCAAAAGGTAAGTAAATGAAGTAAATAAAGAAAAGCTTCTTACCTATACTGCCTGTAAACTATATCAACGCTGTATATATCACTGTAACACGAGTGTTATAAAAAACAGCTGTGAGAATAAACAGCCATTCCCAACTGAAAACATGTAATCACCTGACCAACTCTTCCAGGATGCTTTAGTGCTAAACCTCCACTGGAGACAGCAGCAGCAACATTTCCTTCTTGGTCAACAACGACTGCACCGACTGTATCCAATGTTCCTGAGTCATTCTCCTGCAGGACACACAAACAGAAACAATTAGTTAAAACTGCACATTAAAGTCAGATTATGCTTCATAGGAGTGTGCAAACTAATGTGTACAAAACAGATTTGTTACCATGCATGCAGTACTGATGGTGCTGCCAGAAGTCTTCCCAAAACACTCACTTGTCTCAGACAAGACCTGAAGAAAACTTCCTTCTATGCATTTCACACGTGCATAGCCACAACTGAGTTCAGGTATTATTAACCCAATTAGAAGACTACTCAGTGGATTAAAAAGATAGCAGGCAGCAGAGCAAGCTGCTCCCTGGAGGTACAGATTCCCACCCTGGGGTACTTTCAAGATCAGAGTGGATAAGGCTCTTCAAAAGACCATGATTTCTCCATACAGAAGAAATACTTAAAGGATGCAACTTTTGTTGTCCATTGCTCGCCCTATTTTATCAAACTAGATTATACCCAGAACAAAAACTAGACTAACAGACAGCTACAGATGTGAAAATCAAGTTAGGAAATCAAAGTTAATTTCCATCAAAGTTAAGAATGCCAGACTAAAAGTTATCTTAATTCACTTTAAATCAAACACATGGGGCTCCCATAATGAACTGACATGTATGTTAGAAGGATCAGGCTCAGCAGAAGCTTTCCATATCATCTAACAGCAATGAAAAAAATGTTTGCAGCCTTTTTTGCAGCATCTGTAGAATTATTTGCTGAATCTGCCAACTATCTTCAGATCAAGCACTCACTTGCATAAAATATTTGCTTTCAGCAGCTACATAAATATTTTTTAGAGATACTTAATCAAAACATCACAAGCATTTCAAAGCATAAGCATTGCATGAAAACTTTCTTAAGCATATTTCTTTTAAAAGAAGATATATTTCACACAAGCAATTGCAGTCCGTTCAGTGGTATAGTTTGCTTGCTTTTGTTTACTTTTAGATGGGAAATTTAGGAGGCTGGAAAACTTCTTTAAGGAAACATTTGTTTTAATATGACCCACATAACTTTCTGAAGGAAATCATCACCCCTGAGGCAAAACAATTCTGAATTTTCCTTCTCAGTAACATTAGTTCTTAAATCTCAGACACAAAAATGACCAGTTCATAACAACTGTGCAGTATTGGCAACAGATGCTAAGCTGTACCAGGGTATAGCATAGAAGATCACAGCTAAACTGTAAAGGTTGAGATATGTGAAAGATTGAAAGTAAATATAGACAATAAAATAGCTACCTAGTCCCACAAACATGGAAAAGTTCACAGGTCCGAAGAAGCACAGCAAATAAAAGAATGAGTATTTAACAGTTCAAACTTAAACTTGACAAGAATATTCATTTTTAATTATTCAAGTTCTTAAGTGCTCATAAAAAAATATTCTCAAGTCTTTTACAAGAGATAACTTTGACAGTACGAGTTTTATGAGCACAGTTCATATGCTCACTCTTGTTAAATATCTCCTTTCTAACCGCTTAGAGAGAATTATTCTGCTTTTCCTGTAAATCTTGCTCTTGCAGAATTTGATTTTTCATTTTATTTCATTTTGAAGAATTAAACTTCCTGCAAAACTGCAGTTACCTTACATTCTGTACAGTAAGACAAGGAGTCCGCACAACATGGTTTAGTTCTCAGCCCCCCTCAGGATGCACCCAGAAAACTGACAAAACCACCATGTTACTTTTCTGCATTACTTACCAACGAGTAGAGCTCTATTTGATCACCTCCTCTACTACCATCACTGGCCTTTGAGGGTCTCCCACACGTTCTGCACATGACTCTGGAGCCCTTGAAATTTCAAATTGCAGGTTGGTAAGCTCATGCATTGGCGTATGACTCAAGCATTGACTTGCCCCTTATTACATGAACTCCAACACTGTGCAAAGACCCCTCCTCCCTCAGTTACGTGTTAACACCATTAGAAAAGTAACTTTTGAAAGGAGGTACATGAAATCCTGTAAACAAGACAAGTTCCAAAACTGGTAAGTAACTATTTTCTCCTCAATCTTTACTTTCCTCACAGGTCTTACCTCCTTGAAAATTGAAAAGTACCATCCTGCTAGTGAAAAGACCTAATCTGAGGGGAAAAGAGCTGAATTTATCACTGGTTTGCAGTTGCACGGATTACAGAGAATGCAACTTTTTCAGCAGTTCTAGGATTTGTACATTATTTATATCAACAATCACAACTAAATAAGGCAGCGGTCTGTCCAGTTACCAAAGCAAAGAGTAGTGGCCAATGCAAATAGACACAGGCCACAGGTAAAGCACAAACATTTAATTTAGTAAGCTATAATGTAACAGTAAATACAAATACTGTGACAGACGTTTTCTAATTGTAAGAAAGGCTCTAAATTCAAAGTAACAGAGCGAGGGAAACAGAGGGAGTCCTAGTAGTCTTGCAGTACAAGTAATATGGGCCAGGTCAATGCTAGATGATGCACAGATGCACATGTTTACCTACCTGACATTTCAAATTTCACCAATTCCAGCTCCATAATGCAGTGTGTTCAGAAAACACTAAAAAGTGGGAAACACTGACAGATATCCTATGCTAAAGAAAATGTTTCAGTAAACAGTTATCTGTTTGTGTTTAAATTTGTTATATTTACACCTCAAAAAATGCAAAATACATTTTCCATATCACTAACACAGAAAGTGAGAGATTGGTGTTCAAGTAGCAAGGCATCAAGTTTTAATTTCACTAAGTTATCATGAAATCATCTGAACACATTGGGTGGTCAAGGAGAAGAGTCTTTGAATGCGTCATTAGTCTAATCATAAATAAAACATGAAATTTATTCATCATCAGCTGTAAAGTTAGGACGTCAACAAAATTTGAAACACAAACTAACCTTTTCACTTGATTGTCTTCTCTTCTTTAGTTGAATGAGATCAGTTTCTACCTTTTCAGCCAACTCCAGCTTCCTCTTGTTCCTCTTAAAAGCTGCTAAACTAAACCCTATAAAACATGTTGAAAGCATTTAACTAAAAAACTTAAATATTGGTAAGTTTACACGGTGGAGGTCTCTTCCCACCACACTTTAAACAAAAAGCAACAATTAAAAAAGCCTACAATAAAACACTAAAGTTCAGTACAAGATGTTTATGTCTTTTCCCAAATTAAAAAATTTCTACTATTGTTCAGCAACGGTGATGGGTAAAATAACTAGTAGTAACAAATTGTAGAACACATATGGAAGCTATATTGGTCTAAATATCTCTCTGTTTGGCAAAGATGCAGCACTACACAAAAGAGAACGGAGTAAGTGGCTTATATTAAAAATATTGTTTCTGACTGTTGACAAGTAAATAGATACCATGTGAACTCATTCTGATATCTGTAAAATCAGGCTACTACTTTATTACCTTAAGTGCACATCTGCATGTTTACCGTATATTTTAAAGCCACACAATAATCAAGCAATAATTTTATGTTCCATAATCTGACACAGTATAAACACCAACTAGGTCTTGAAAAGACAAACATGCATTTTCCACATCTAAATTCCACATTCAGAAGGAATGTTATTTAAGGCTGAAAAATAAATAAATACATAAATAATGCTGAAGAGACCAAAACAGCATGTTCTCATTTTAGAAGTCTCACTTCATGAAAAATCTGCAGATACTGACATTTAGTTTAGTTTTGACTTAATATTACATTGGTTTAACATCCTCTTTGAAAGGTAGAAAAAAGAGGAGAAAAATGTCTTCAGTCACTTGTTCAGATGTGCAAAATCAAGGTATCTGGAGGGCACAGGTACATAACGATAAGTCACAAACTTAAGTTAAAAAGTTAAAAGTTAAAGTTAAAAAGTGCAGGCTTCCTATTTAAAGTATAAACTTCTTAAAATGTCATTTGAAATGGAATTCAGAACATAGCTACATCACTATTACTCAAAAGACTGGAACAGCTGCAAGAACCATCTCCGAATAAAATCAATACTGCAGAGCCAACAGAACACAAAGCTTTCATTTACAATTCTGAGCGGGCAGTGAGCATTTTATTTCTTTGAAACTTACCGTTTAGGGGCCAAAATCACCCAGAGAACTCTCCTTTAAGCTTTTTTTAAGTACACGGAACTAGATTTTAAACTACCACATCTATTCAAGAGTATAACCAGTAATCAGAAAGCTGAGTAATCAGAAAGCAGGTAATCAGAAAGCTGGTGTTTCTCTCCAAAAACCTAATGAATACCAGTTTCTTAAAACTGTAAACACATATTAATCTGCCATCACCAAGAAAGGAACTCTTTCTACCATACAGAGTTGATTATTACACTTTAGATAACACATTTTCATGTTTGAAACAAGGACCAAGAGGTAAAAAGCAAAACACTTGATAAGGGATAGCAGGTAAAGAATCATTTTAGTCTTGTATTAACTGGAAGACAATAAACAAACAAACAAAAAAAGAACAAACCAACAAGATGAAGAACAGAATTTGTTAAACAGATGTATCCCAAAATGAACCAAGACAGAACATTGTTTTTAACAGAACTTTTAAACAGGAAAATAAGCAAATTGAGATGACTTCAGTGAATACAGCAAGCACCTACAGGCAGAGCCATTATATGTGGGTGAGAAAGAGAGATGCCTGGACTTGATATTCATAAAAAGTAGATATTACACAGGCATAAATATGTCTAAGACTGCTACCTACTGCTGCCATTGGCTCCTGCCAATTCAGGAAAATAAAGGCTGTGCACCCAGGCAGGAGAAAGAAATATGAGGGTACACAAGCCCCATCCATAAAAAGCTGTACACAAGAAGTTTTCTTTGTTCTCTCGAATTTTATGCCATTGGTATTCCAAAGCCTTCTGCAATATTTGCACGCTTATCAGTTTGAATACATGCACAAGGATAGTGTCAAAACCAAGAACACCTGGGCTGGCTCCAAGATGACCCGTCAAAAGCCTTGCTATATGGTTTCAGAGTCATCACTCCAACTATACCTTTGTTGCTATCTACCCAGCCACTTTTTCCCACAACATATGATGTTCTCCACGCTGAAGAGATACGTTCCATCCACGGAACTCCTCCATGCTCTAGCTAAGCAATTAAACAATTTTCTGATTTTACCTTGTGCTTTAAGATTCTATTTGTCTTTTCAAGGCAATAAAAATGCCTGATGATCTGTTTTAAAGGACTTAATTGTCCACGTTGTATTATTTGCATTAATTCAAAGTGGCATTGGCAAGCAAAGAAACACAGGGAGAAGACAGGTCATTAAGTATGAAACTGGGCTAGAAATGTACTTTCTCCTTGTTTCAAGAAAGCGTGACTCTTACATAGCACTAATTCTGGCTAACACAATTAACTCTGAAGTGTCAGAACTATTTTCAATTCATGGTTACCCCAACTGCCTTTTTAATTATATGCTAAGATAAAGGCTTGTCAAGCATTTTCTTTCCACTGCTTTTTTTACTTTGCTGATCTCCCATGGAAACAATGATGCACTGCTCAATGAAGGACTTTTGCTGGATAAGCAGGTATTTAGAATGCCAGGAGATGGTGTGGCCTGTGTTTTTGAGCAGCTTAAACTATGTCATATGTCACAGCTGACAGACAGATAGGTCAGTTTTCTAGTACCACAGAATGTCATTTGCTGGAAGGAACCTTACGAGGTCAAGTAGTTCAGACTTCTAGTGGAATTCAAAAGGGCTGCACAGAAGCTTATGTGGTGAAATTCTGAGTATCTTCAAGAATGGAAACTGATTCCCCAACTTCTCTGGGCCCCTGCTGCAGGGGAATATATATATATTTCTCAGACTTGTGCCAATATATATACATATGTATTAGTTAGTCAGAATTTCCCATATCCTAATTTACATTAAATCTTCTTTAATTCAATCCCTGTGCAGCAGACACCACCATATGACACTTAAATGAACTAACACAAAACACTGTATGTTAAGGAAGCTAGCATAATGCTTTCCAAGTAAAACAAACTACTCTTTCCCCAGCTTTCTCCACCATGATATCAACAAAACTTAAACATGAGCTCCTACCTTGAAAATTACCATATCTGTCACACTTGCAAGTTCATACCATTATACTGGAAGGAGGTGTTAGGTGGGATGTCAGTCATGGTTCTGTACTTTAGAATGGCATGAATTTTGATCAGAAAAAAAATGAGGGTATTGGAAGGGAATAGATTGTGGGTTAGTGGACTTTTGGAGGGATGGAAGGAGATTTTTTAGGGGTCTGGGAGTAGAGAAAGATAGTTTGTTAATGGTGTGCCTCTCTTACCTGAGTTACTTGTAAGAATTTAGTATTAATTCAATTCTTAAATATTATTCAACTTGGCATGAAATATCATACCTTTCCAAATCGTGAGGGAAAGAAAGCCTATTCAGACTTTCCCTAGAGTAGAAATTCTTGTGCCCAGGCTATATTCAACTTCTGCATATTTATTAGAATTAAGTTTCATCTGTAAGTTGATAATGTTGTTTTAGCAAGGACTAATAGTTGCCTCTCATTATTTATGGGAAATAACAATTATTACCAGAGACTATCAATTCCTCTTAGCAGGATAAGAATCTGCAAATACCTCCAAAGTGACTTGAAAATTATGAAAAAGAGGACCAGTTTGTAAAACAAAACCTAGCAATTCCCTATCTTCCTCTGACATTCCTCAGATTTATGTCAAATTTCAGATGATCAGTTAAGGGAACACCAACTAATAGCAAGCAATAGACTGTCTGTCCCCCTTTCACTCCTGCCTTTGTAAAGTTCTAGATTGGTAAAACCACTGCAAACATAATTCAACCATCCATAACTCTGGTTGCTTCATCTTGCTCTGTGGTGACTAAAGAAACCAGAAGATAAAATCGAGCTTTGTACCAAAGGACTGAAAGATGAAAATAAAATTTTCTGAAAATATCCTCCATGTTTGTCACCCTGGCCAAACAACAAACAACATATTGTAGGGATTTTAGTTCAATAAATCACATTTTATAAACTAAAAAATTTCCCAGATTATAATGTATTTGTTTAATGGAGCACTTAAAAGATGAATAGATCCCACTAGAGAATTATTTTAAAGTCACCACTACACAGAAGGAAAACATGTACACACAGAGTAAGTTCATAATTCAAATTATAACTAAAACAAAAATTCAACTGTGCCGTGCAAGGATTCTAAGAAATTTCATTCGTCCTAAATGACAGTACAAAAAACACTCTCACCTTCTCCAACAGCATATTCCAAGCTTGAGAAGAGGAAAAGGACACAACACAGTGTTGAAGACAGGCAAGTTTTCCTAAAACAAATGCAATATAGCTACATCAGCCTGATGTTGCACCTGAGCCAAGAAGATAGGGAAACTTATTGACTGGGGAGAGAAGGAAGCTGGAAAAAGAGAGGTAAGGGAACAGACAGGATTTTAGTTTGAAAAACTCTTGGAGTACAGCCCAGAGGTTTTGTTGGAATATATGGAAAGTTATTTAGTACAGCCTCCTTTGATTTTGCACAAGAATTTTGAATTTTACACAAAAATTTGGTACATGCTTTGTGATATAAGTCCTTGACAATTATTATCCTACGCAGTAACAGTTTGTACAGTCAAACTCAATCAGAAAAGACCTGCAACTCAGAAGACACAGACTAGAATGAGCACTCATGTTTTGCTTTCTCTCTTATGTACATACTGTCATAAATAAAACTACATCAGAGCAGCTGGGAGAGGGGGAAAAAACAAAAGAGTAAAAAGTCCCATGCTTTACAGAATGACTGTCTGTTAGTGTTTAAATGCTATAACTCAGGCCTCATCCACATAAAAGACATGAAAAAATGACTGGCAACAAAAGCATATCAGAACATCAGTTAAATGCCAGGACTTCAGTCTGTCACATTTACAACGATGCTCACATGTCCCTGCAATAGGCTACCTCTAAAAATGAATCTTCAAGGTCCTGACAACATCTTCCCCATCCACATTCTCCCTTCCACCCCAC